CAGCATGCGAGAAGGTGAAGAGGAGGCCATGTACTCCGTAGCCGTTCGCATGATCGCCATTCTATAATTGGTCGTGTCTCGCTGTCCGGGCGTGCTGGAACAATGGAACTTGTGGAGTCTTCGAACTGTCTCACTCGTGGTGTCTGTGGCTGCAAGGAAAGAGCGAATTCGGCCAGTCCCTTTCGATCTTGCACCCAGAGCTCTCTTTCTCTCCCTCTTTCTCTTGATAGGACGGAGGAGAGCCTGTCTGTGGAAATGATTAATTGACTTGGGCTTCCCCAGATGAAGGCACTTCACGTAACTGCGGAGTCGTTTCCCTCCTATGCCCCACGATAAATTACCACGATAGTTTAGATGACTCCCCAAGCTTGCTTGTATCGCCTGACGTTGAAATATCGAGGCTCTGAATAGGGCTGTGGCGAGTGTTGCGTCGTACGTAACTCGAACTTGATCGGTGGTCCGACTCTGTGGCGTCAAAATCCGACACTAAGAGCTCCATGGATCCGCTGTGAGTTCCAGCTCTCCGGCCTGTACGGTTGCATGTGCTGGCTCTATCATCTAGAGGAACCAAGGGACGCAAATCTTGCCGCCAAAAGGCGGCAAACAAGGTGAGCGTTGAATTCAGGCGTCCTTCTCCGTGTGTATTCCCGCAACTGATCTTCGTTGAAGGCCTCGTCAGCCAACTAGGCGGCTTCGATTAATGCGAACAGGGTCATTTGTCCCCATGATGCTCCACAAGCCGCTGGGGCCATCGCCCCGACGTGGACCAGAAGGGCCCCTAGGTCTGCAGAGGAGCATCATTGCGGAGCATTATCAGTGAGCTGCGACAATGACAGCAATGTCGAAGGGTCCTTGGCGGAGACTGTCGAAAGACCCTAGTGGCAAAGTCAGTTTTGCAAAATCGTTCTTGGTGCAAAGAAGAAGGGTCTTGTGAGGAGACGAGAATGTTGTGAGCGGCCATACAAGGAAACGACCGAAGAAGGGTGTAGGCTGCCTTGGCCAATGGCAGGAACGGCCAACCCTCCGTACTCTATATTTGCTGCCCAATCGACTGCACTGACTCAACATGGCATTGTCTGCTTACAGATGCCAAAAGAGAGCTCCCAACTCTACCACCTTGATATAGCTGCAGCCCCGGATTGGCTTTCAAATCCCGTATGCAAGCCTTCGTGTCTCCGTGGGCTTCGCAAGCGCCAACCAAATTGACCAGCCAACCCCTGTCCGTTCACCTGATTCCTCATCATTCCTCTATCAGGTGAAGTTGGTGAGGAGACATCATGCCACATCATCTTGTTGGAGGGAACTTGTGACCATCTGCAACCGCAGAGTCTATCGATTGCACGCCACCTACAATTCGACGTGTTGTACTCCGTACTCCGCAGTCGAGGTCGGCCGATGCAAGCCTTTGTTCTAGAAAAGGTCGGGACTCGATGAACCGTGGCTGTGTTGTTAGCTGCCAACTGCTGGGCTTTTGGGTCGGGTCTCTGCGAACAATGTGCATGCCATGGCACGTTTCCCAAACTCATTCGCTCTAGCTTGCGAAATACCAAGCTGACGTCGACTCAATTGGTTCCCTTTTGTGGCAAGTAAGCATTGACGCGCATGGTAAAGTAGAGTCGTGGTGGCATGAACATAGCTCCCATCTCCGTGACACGTCTCGCCTAAAAAGAAACCCGTTAGGAGGCCCCTACAGCACGTTGTAGTCAAAACATTTTCTTGCCTCGCCAATATACCAGTGCCACGGTCTAGTTGAGCAAGCACTAGAAACTAAGGTACTGCGGAATGCTTTTCACGAGTAATTATTCGTCCTTTTGCCTAGGTCAGGTGCAATAGATACAGCTTAAATTAACACCCGACAACATCAAGAATGCTAACCGTATCCATAGTGGAGATTAATGGTCAAGTACTAGAAGAGGTAGATGTGCGTTGAAGTACTGCCCGCGGTATGGTAAACAACTGGCAATTGACACTTGTTTGGTCCGTTCCTAGTTGCAATCGCAAAGGGAGTGCATGACATTTGGCCAGGGAGCAAAATGAATAAAGATCTAGAAGGAGAATCTAAAACATTCTGTTTGCCAATGTTTTTGCCAAGGCGGTCGATTTTCTTGGCAAACCTTGTCGAGAAAACTTTACGATGGCACTATGATTATGAAAGTTTTTTGGTCTTCTTATAGACATATGCTACCCTGGAGGGTGATGGCTACGATGCTGCGCAACGCTGTCATCTTGTCGCTCAACACTAATGCCGGTGGAATTTTGGTAAAGACAAAGTAGGACGAGGCAGTCATATATATATATATATGTAAACATAGACACTTCCCCAGTAATTACGTTGCCAAATCTCTACCGTTCAAGGGTCGGTTCAAGGCTCCGCTGACACCCGACAGGCAAGCTACATCAGCACATAACAGAGGTAAACGCAGCAAAACAGAAACTTCCAGAAGGACACATAGTTTCTACATATTCGTATTCCATAAATGCTCAATGCTCAACTACAGACAGTTATTACCTAATCCAACATTTTAAAACATCACCAACCGGCGACGGGGCATAAATGGAGAGACAGTCTCAAATACTACATATCTTTGCTCCAGAAACGCCATAACAGTGCAGGGTGCCCGCTCAGCTCCTCCTCAGTTCCCACGGGGCTTCATCCTAAGCGTACCATCTTCCATGCAAGTATGTAAACATCTAGATGCCAATCCAGATGAGCATAATGACCACGTCCATGCCCTTGCCCTCACCACCGTCATACTTGAAGGTCCACATGCCGTCCTTCTTATCGTCCCAGTACGCACCGGTGGCGCTGTGCATGCCGCGTCGGCCGACGTGGGGTTTGCCATCGGTGGCAGTGGCCTCGGAGCTCGTCGAGATGTGAGGCTTCTCTTCTTTGGTCTCGGTGCCGCCGCGGGCTTTGTTCAGTGAGGATGTGGGCACGAGGTGCTGCACGATGGTGCTGTTGCAGGCGAACTTGAACGAGGGGGCGGAAGCGCCTTGGGGTGTTGACTCGGAGATGACGGCCTTGAGCATAGAATTCTAGGTGCGCGTTAATCGTTTGCTTCACTGGTGATGCGTCTGTGAGTGGGTTTAGGCCGGGAGGAGCGTACGATGATAGTAGAGTTCCATTGCTCAGTCTTTGCGTGGTCGTAGAACTCAGCGCTACCGATCGCATTGTTGCAGACCTGATATGAATTTGTCAGAACCAGCAATCGATATGCATATTGTATAAAGATGGGCGGTAGGAAACAGGCCGGCTCGCCAATCGAGGAGAAGTTCGTACATCGGTAGCAATCTGCTTGAGGCGGTTGAAAGGAATAGGCTGAAGCCGATGGTCAGTAAAATGTCAAGAGGAAAAGGCTGCAAGGGACTCAGGGCTATCACATACAGGAGTAGACATCTTGATGGCTCGTGGCGTTGTTTGATCAGGGAGCGATGCGGGTGGAGCGAGGTTGAGGCGTAAACGTAAACAACAGGTTGGTGGTGTACATACAGCGCGGACGTAGGAGGGGGACCCATCACCGCGCCATAACCAATGAATCCTGACCAACCAAACAGCCCGTATTATTTAGAAGACTGAATTGCCAAAAGACATCTCACTTAAACAGCGACTATAAAATGCTTTTTTTTAAATCAATTTAATAATAAACAACTTGTATAAATAATAATTAAACGCCTACCGAAGTACACTTGGTTCCCAAACTTTTTTTTTACTCGCTCTCAGCGAAACCGTTGACTTCCATATCCCTTGTCCCTGACAGGTTTCCCGCTTTGGCACATTAGGAGTCTCCCTTGCTTCGCGGGGCAACCACACGTGACTCCGAACCAACCAGCCTGCCCACGTGCACAAGAGCTCCCCCAAAACAAGTCGTCACGAGTGGGGTCTGGTTGAACCGAAAGTATGAGACCCGGCGCAGATATTTGCACCAGAGCCCTCTGCGAGAAGAAGTTTTCTTCAACCAAAGCGTCGCATTTCTAATCTTGCTCAATCGATTCTGTCCTTGGACCGAGTTTCCGCCTCTGAAGAATCGACAAAGTCTGTAAGGTGCTCGGCAATTCGGGCTCGCTGCGTCAGCCAATTGGCAAGTATCTCGACCGAGCCGCAGCTCCAAGCGAACCTACAGCAGCAGCGACCGACTACAGCGCTGCAATCCGCTCAGTTGCCCTCAACAAGCCGTCGCCAACATGTCTTCCCAACCCCTTCTCCAGACCTCTCAAGGTACGCCAAATCTTACTGCGGCCATCGTTCTCGCCGCCCATGCTAACCGGCACCAGGCAAGCGCATCGCCCTGCCCACCCGAGTCGAACCGAAAGTCTTCTTCGCCAATGAGCGAACCTTCCTGTCATGGCTCAACTTCACCGTCATCCTGGGTGCCCTGGCCATTGGAATGCTCAACTTTGGTGATCGTGTGGCCTTCATCTCGGCCTTCCTCTTCACCGGCGTGGCCATGTTGACCATGCTGTATGCGTTGGTGACGTACCATTGGAGAGCAAAGTCAATACGAATGAGGGGTCAGGCCGGGTTCGATGACCGGTTTGGCCCTACTTTCCTGGCCATTATTTTGTTGTTGGCCGTCGTGGTGAACTTTGTGCTGCGTATTACGGACCACTCGAACAAGCAGAAGCACAACTGAGCTTGATGGGCTGATTGCGCATCGAGGACGGGGTCATGGTGGGATCAGGGTGGAGATTTTACATGTGTAATGAAGAATGAGGACACTCTACAAAGCGAATACAAGAGGAGAGGAATATGGGCGACGGTTGAAGGGTGGAGAGGTCGTACATTGGATATCCGGCGTTGTCTTCCAGTTACGTAGTACAAGTGTTCAGCATTGCAGTAAAAATGCCATTTCGAATTTAGCGTCAACTCGCTCAAACCAATTGGGTATCTTGCATATCTCCAAGCCGTAAACAGCACTCCAAGCCACCATAACGCCGTTCCATACAGAGACCAATCCAACCGCCTTCTCGAACCACCATGAACCGCTGCAGCAGGACAAATATCATGCAGGCTCGTTGGACTGAACAGTGACCCCCTTTCTGGCCTTCAGGTCTCCTACCTCTTTTATACTCAAGAACACCCTGAGGGACATGGTCACGCGCTTCGATGGCTCCGGTATCACCGCCCTTTCAAACCGACTCGCCATCATCTCGAAATCGTCCTCGTCCTCATCCTCGTCCTCTTCCCGGTTTTCTTCATCACGATTCCTGTCAAGAACCGTCTCCTCAATCAAATCTTTCTTATGCTTTGGCTCTGGCAATACAAACATCTCATTATATTGAAAGCACGTCTTTCCCTCCTCCCTCAACAGCCTCTTGCACTGCTCCACAATGGTAATCATCTTGCACACTTCTGCCGTTCGCGCATACAGCAACACCACACACTGTAGGTCTGATGTGGAGCCTAGATGCGAAAGAGCTTGCGCGACACGCTTCCGAATCTGTGTTGAGGATATTACAGAGGCGGCGAGGACGTTGTATTTTGGTTGAAGCTGGGCAATGATGGCTTGGTGAGGCCCTATGAGGGCTGGTCTTGACGCATTGACGGAAGTGGAAGGTTGTGATCGAGCGCGTTTAGCTAGTTGGGTTGTAGGAGACGGTTGTTTGCGTTTTTGCGAGGCGGCTTGAGCCTTTTGTGAGGGCGTGGGCGACATATTTGCTTGGATTGGCGCAAGGATTTGTGTTTTGTTAAATGCGTAGATTGGAGTTTTTGAACTTTTTTGAAGGAGGCTGACCTTGGACTGTGGCATTGAATAAATGTGGGGCGGAAGATTGCGAGATACTGCAAGTGTGCTTACCAGAAGTGCATTTATTAGTTTGTGAAGGAGACGAGGAAGGGCACCTGAAGCAGTCAAGCACAAGGTACCAGAGCAGGCATCACTCCAAATGCTCAGTGCGATGTCTCGCAGTACCCGGCGATGGGGAAGAATATTTGCATGTGAGATGAGCAGAATGATTTCGCACCTCCAAAGCTTCTTCGACTGGATGCAGATCTGCAAATTCTAGATACTACGACTACGACAGCGTGTGGAGATGCCAGTCTGAAATAGCCCATTCACATGTTAACTGTAAAATGCATCACGCCAAACCCTTGCGCCGGCAAAAGAGGCTGACTCGGCGCCCCCTCCTCCAAGGAAGGCTCGTGCCACCCGTGTCAAGTAAACTTGGTGGAAGAGCTTCGTGAGCTGCAGCCGTGATGTTTTGGAGTATTCTCCCTCTCCGGTTTCGAAGATAGTTCTTTGTAGCTTCACTTGGGTGATACGTTATAGACTCCAACTTCCTGCTTCATCCTGCTGGGCCCTGAGCCGGTCTGTCATGGTGTAATAACGAAACTTGTTGCGATACGGGGTTATTATAACTATGTTGGAGTCAAGTGGGACGACGGTGACGTCTTCCACTCATGCTGCAGACAGACTTCGTCGCCGCGTCAGCTTGGAATATTCTTTCCGACACAAGATATGACCGCCGTGGGCTTACTCAGGGACTAGGTCGCCCTTCGAGGGCTAACCTACAGTGACAATTAACGCATGAAGATTGCCTGCAACTGATACAATACATCGAGGCGGCCTGAAACTTTGGGAGTCCCTGGCTGCCTTGGGAACGTCGCGCTAGTCCAAGTGGCTGCATGATATTCACAATGACGCCACTCAGCCGGGGAGCCTTGACATTGACTCCGTGGCCTAGATATTGATTCCATCGGAATGTCGATTGGTCCACATGTAGTGTCAAGATTGTGTTTCTGATAAGCCTCACTCCCTGACAGGCTGTGGTTGGGGATAAGAAGACCTCGGCGCGGGACAGCTCCTCAAACTGGCTGAACGCACTTCGTGTTTCTCGGGAGCTGTTTATGACAGACATTTTCCTTGGTCCCAAAGTTTCCCTGTCGGGGATCGATCCCTGATCAATATGTGCGCGCTTGTACCGGCTTAGACTCTAAATGGTACGAAGCGCAGTAGCTGGGCACGTGGCCTGCCTCATTACTTTACCTCCCACTGTATATCGAATCTCGAATCTCGTCGTGGATGGAGTACTCGGTGACATGGCGCGTGGTGCTTGAACCACAAGAGACTTGAGTTGACAGATGATAGCTTTCTTTCAAACATGTCCATGCTATGTATTAAATACGTTACAGATAAAAAAAACCGTACAACCGGCCATCTTAGGACGTAAGTGAGACACATGTCGCCCCGTTTTTTTAAGAACCAACAAGGTACTCCGTACTACAGGTGCTATGCAGCCCAGTCTGGTTTTCAATGCTATTGACTACTCGACTTGTATCCGTTCGGGCGTGCTAGGCATGCTAGGCATGCTACTTCTACAAATAAGAAAAACAAGCCGAGACCTACCTCGCTTCCTGGAGAAAAGCAAGATAATTTATTTTGCCGGCGCAGCAAGTACAGATGCACCCTCGACGAGTCTTGGCCGTGAGAATCAATGGGACACCAGACAATGGAAATATTACCTGGGTACTTAGTACCTCAACGGGTACTTCAGTCCAAGGAGCAGACGCCGCCAACAAGACTGGTCAAGCGCGGGGCTGCAACTCACTGGCGGACCGGGATCTGGGATCTCACTGCTTACAAGGCACCACCGCAAGTACTTGGGGATGCGCTTAGATGGTGCAAATAGAGAGATGCGGATACGTGCCAAGGTGAGGAGTAAGTACCTAGGTACCCAGGTACTTGAGAGGACTAGCACTTCAAGGTGTGGCGATGCACCCAGGAAGTTGTTATAAGTCAACGTGAACACAGCCTAGTATTTCTTAGCTTAGCATCTAAGTACTTTCAGCACTCCGCATGACGTGACACTACAACGATTTTAGTGATGTGAGGACGGGGTATCTTGACACCTAGGTACTTACTTATATCTGGGCACCCGGTGCAGTCGACCCAGAGTGCTCAATACTTGGTGCTTTACGCGGTTCAATGTTATACTGGTTTGGAAACGGCAGGCGGCATGAAAATGCGAACCAGACCAGCTCTCAAGGCTGCCACAGCAGCGGGTTGGCCTCACAGGCATTGGCGAGTTGGTTCAGCAGGCACTCACACTGACTCTGGGTGTCTGGAGCTCTCCACACCCCCTTGCAGCGAGTGTGGTGGATCTGGGTGCTGGCTGTGGAATTGGCGACCAGCGGTAGTCCAGTGGTTTGTCCAGTGGGTATCCAGTGCGCCAACACCCAGAGCTGCCCAGCGGGCTGTGTTGCCCGTGCTGCCCCAGTTGGGTGCGGCCCACCAAACACACCAAGCAGATGCAGACGTTGCTGTTGATTGAAGAGTCTTGGTCTGGCTGGGTTCATTCTCGGTCAAGCAGCCCCTAGTCCAGCCCTCGTTGGGCGGGTCGCCATCCGTATCGTCCGCTCCCTGCCAAACTGGGCCCTGGCTTGCGGGTACTTGTACTGAGGTCAGAGAGTACTTGGACGGTCGCGCAGCTCAAAGCCGCCAATTAAGTATCTAGATACATATGCGCACTTGGAGAGCTGTTAGTTGGAACCTTGCTATGGTGGCACGTTTACATGGAGCAGTCGGTACCCCGTCAACCCGTTCTTCGTTCCAAGTGCTGCTCAAGTGTGGCGGCGTCGGCCGCCCGCCTGTCTGGAGCAGCCTGGCTGCACCAAAACGAATCAATCCGCGCACTCTTCCATTTGATCTTTGACCCAAGCCAAGGCGCCCCAGCGCGCCCCAATGTACGGGGGTACCGACCGAGTTCGTGCTCCCTGCCCTGCCTCCAATCTGGTTCACCCGTGTCTGATGTTCAAGTTCCATGTCCGTCCCCGTCCCATCGTCTGTCCACTGCTCCAACTGGCTGCTCCCACTGGCTGGTCCAACTCGAACACGCAGCTAGAGCTGTTCTCCCGGCTTCCAGTATCCAAACACCACCCAACACTCTCGCCTCCCTCCGTTTGCTCCCTCTTTCACTCCTTCCTCTGCGCTGTAGCCCATTAATCCTTCAACTCTCATCGCCTCTTTTTTTCCTTTTCTTTCCCTCCGTTCCTCTTCAGACTAGTTGTCTCCTCAAGAGACACAACTCGAGGCTTTCGTTAGCTCTCGATCATCTTGCCCGACAGCCCACCTTTCTCCCCGTCGTTTCTCTCTCTCACTCTCACTCTCACGTTCGCTCTGCCTGTCGGACTCGCAGATCTGCCTTCTCCTGCTGACTGACTCCTGCCTCTGGAGCTTGGTCGCCACACAAAACCCAACTCCCCGGTGTCCGACCTGGCCCGACTTGCCACCTCATCAGGCACCCCTTTGCCCACATCACCCGCTCCACTTTTCCGTTTACGTCAGCATTTTTTTCTGGGGATCCACTCTACCGACCGTGCGGTTGCTGTTTGTCGCAAACATCATCCAGCAGACGTCGTCGCGATATTCTGTGTCGCGACTCATCGGCAACCCACACCCCTTGTTGACGGAGGCTGCTTCATGTTTCGTTTTTGGAGCTCCGATCCTAGGGGAAGCGAGCAGCCTGCAGAAACGCCAAAACTCCCGTTGGACGCGCGCCAACACCTGGACGCTACATCAGAACTGTCGTCGCAAAACGGCCCCGGCAGCCCGGCTCCCAAGCGGAGCTGGGATGCCTTTGACGACTCCAGTGAAGCATCATCGGATGTCTCTTTGAGTAAGCGAGTGAAGCTGCACTCTGACACCCTCGACTCAGCTTCCGTGTCGTCATGCGACGACTCATCGTCTTCTGTCGGAGGTGGTGGCATGGATCGTGCGCGCGACATCATCAGGCACCAAATAGGCCTCGAGGTGCTCCTCAAGCATGACGAGTTGAGACTTATCAATCAGGAGCTCGCCAAATGCCAAATAGCGCTGGAACAATTGCGCAGATGTCACCTGATTCCGTACCCTCAATACTGTCCGACCCCAGACCAGATGCTTGACATCAGCAGTGGTAAGGGTCCTGCAGCTATTACTCGATTCGGAGAACCAGTTCCTCAGTGGGCACCGCCATTTGGCGTTGTGGACGGCCCATACGCACGCCATTACGCGAAGTGGCTCATTCCCGATCCCTCCTTCGATGGTGAACAGCCAGAGTGGCAGTTCACCCCAGAGTTCGCGCGCGCACGAGTGCCCTTCAACGAGGGCAGAACGACGAGGAACAGTTTCACGGAAACCGGGCCGGCTTCCAAGGGGAGACCAGTTCGCGGCAACGCAGGCCAGAAACTTCAAGCTTTGTCGAGCGGATATCCTCAACCCAAGGACAAGGCTGGTCCTTGTATCCTGAAGCGATCCGATGGCCGAACTGTCAAGCTAGTTTGCCTGGACTGCAACCGTGAAAACTTTTCCAGCACTCAAGGCTTTATAAACCACTGTCGGATTGCTCACAAGCGAGATTTTAAGAGTCACGAGGAAGCTGCCGTCCAGAGCGGACACCCTATCGACGTTGGTGAGAATGGTGGTCCTGGGGGCGCCGGCGCAGATGACAAGACCCAAGCCAGCAGTAACGTCAACAACAACCCGTCGTTTTCCACGCATGTGCATCCCTTTGCCCGGCAAGACATGTCTGAACAACAGGCGTACGTTGCACTGCGCTCGCGAATTGCCGACTCACTCAAGCTGTATCACCAAGGTAAGCTTCCTGGTGTTGGCGCAATTCCTTCAAGGACCACTGGTGTGAACGCACCAGTTACCAGGAAGTCAAGGGCTGCCGCCACCAAGTTCAATCCTGCCACCGAGACCCCGTATCTGTCTCGTCTGATGAAGAGCCGCAACTTCAATGGCAACCTTCGTGATCTCGTTGCAGACGCCAAGACCAAGATTTCCATCGAAGACATGACACCCGACGAGGAATCCGACGACACGGGCACTCCCATTACTGCCTTTGACGGACCAAATGATGCTGCTCCTGCCCGAACTCCTTTTGTCAAGCGTGTACCAGCCCAGAGCGGAAAGACGCCTGCTGCTCCAACCGACTCGCCCACCCACCCAACGAGCAGCAAGAGCCGTGCTCCGCCCATGTCTCTCGTATCCCCTCCTGGTTCTAGTCTGGATGTGATGTCCAAATCTGGTTCCGATGCTGTCTTGTCCGATGAAGATTTGGATATGGAAGCCAACCTCAGCCCCAACACGCTGGTTAGCAATAATGCGCCGTCTCTTGTTAGTGACGACGGAGAGTATGACGACTCTGATGACGGATCTTCCATATCCGGTGGTAGTGATGAACTTGACAACGAGTCTGTGTCTGACGTTGCTGAAATTACGCTTGACGACGACCATGACTCGAGGTCTCTGCGCCGCGGTTCCAACGGCGTTTCTGGAACGGTGAGGCTCCGTAAAGACGACGCCAAAAAGCAGCATGTCACCTTTCTTGGGCCTGTGAATCGAGCCAAGGAACGAAGATCGCGCAGAACATGAGTTGTCTTTTATGTTTCCTTTGCGATTTCACTGTGACGGTTGCTAATTGACTCCCATACTTTCTCCAACATCACAACTTCAACCTACATACGCTTCAACAGTCAGTGGCACATGATGGGGCTTTCTCACCATTTGCTACTGATATCTATTTGAACCCCCTACTCGATTTTAGTTCTTTTTTCTTCTCTTTTACATTTGTTTTCAAGAAAGAACCGTGAACGCGTGCTTTAGTGGCAGCACGGTACACGAGACTTCTGTTATCGCGGGATGGAGATCCGCGTGGCATACTGGCAAAAACTTAGGAAATTCTTTCGGCGTCCAAACGGCTGATAACAAGGCAGGGGCGGGCTTCAGTCAACTTCATACCGCAGTCTTTCTGTAGAGATATCGTTTGCTTTTCTTGTTTCTTTACTAGGCGCAACGGGAGAGCGGGACTTCTTTTCTGAGAGACAGGCTTGCAACTTTGGCGCGGTTGCTAACAGTGGTTGTATGATTTTGGACCACGGAACATGATGGGAGGACCAGCCTCGTTGTATCATAGAGTTTGGTTTAGGCAGTACTGTAGAGGACTGCGGAACACGGTTGACTTGGCTCGAAGTTGAGCAAGCCCAAACAATCCCTGCATGATCTGTACCCATTGTGATTTCGATGTGATGGAATATTTAATAGGACCGCACCTGCCAAGCAGACTCGTCACGCGATATATAATATTACATGAATACCTAAATAGATAACTAAATATGAGCGAATCTCGGCGTCTGGATTGCGTACTCATAAGGCAGCTTTGGTAGAATGATGGAACAGCACATGTAACCGGTATATATGATTCAAAATAAGCACAGAATACTACTGCAACACGTATTTCAAACCCAAGAAACCTAGACTACTTGAACATCTTGTCCCCACAGCCCAAGCACCATTGATACAAAGTGCAAGAGATGGGCAAAGTCAATAAAATTAATTAAGAAATCAAGTAAGTGCTACCTACGCATCCCAGACAAGCTGATCCCGTATTCGCAGCGCTCCGTACCGACAGACCCCACGCTTCGCGCAATGTTTTTACAAGACTACAGCTACGGCACCAGCAACGGCGGCAAGCATGCCGGCAGCATTGCCAGCGAGGCTCTCGGCACCATTGGTCTTGCTGGCGCTGGGAGCGGACGAGGTGCCAGACCTTGTGGGCACGACCGACGGGCTAGAGGTTTCGGCTGCGGCGGTGGTGGCCTCGGCCTGGGCGGTGGAAGTGGCCTTTGTGGTGAGGGTGGCGCGGGCAGAGGCGTTCATGCAGGCGCCGTTCATGGCTTGGGTGGCTCCCGGGGCGCGGGCGTCGCTGGGGCAGTTGTTGTAGCAGCTATGATTGTCAGATTGCGTGCCCATGATACTTGGGGGTGAGTTTGGAGGGCTGGGACTTTACGTTGCGATGGCTTGGGAGGCGTAGCATTGACATTCGTAGTCGGCTGGGTCGCAGGCTGCAAGCTGTCGAGGCGGCGTTAGTCTATATAATTAGACATGGAGTAGCTTGAGTTCCTGGGGCGTTACCTTTTCATTCTGGCTCAGAAGGCATTGCCTGACGATGTAGTTTGCCAGGCAGTTCTTGTCGCCGTCGGTGGGCTGGGAGACGGTTGGAGCGGAGGCGGTGCTCACGGCAGAGACACTGGTTACAGCGACCATGGCGAGATAAACAAGGAACTTCATTTTGAGGACTGGTTGAGATGGCTTTGGGTGTTGAAAACCGGGGATGTGGTGAGGGGCGAGCGAGCGAGGGTTGAGGATTTTAGATGAGCTTGCTCAACGAGAGACGAAGGGTACTGACTCCAATGAGACGACTTTGCAGGCACATCAAAGGATGGAGAAGGGGAAGCGGCATCACGGGGGAGGTCCGCGGTTTAATATATCGTACGGAGTACTCCCTAAGCAGACCGTATGGCTTGTTTGATTCCAAGACGGTGGCGTAGAACTAATAACTTCAATCGAGATGTGTGAGAGCCCTCTCTTTGTACAGTACGCAGTTCCCTCAGCCCCAGATGGCCATTGAAACAAGAGGAAAAAATGCCTTTTTTGGGACAGTGCTGTTTTGTCTGACACATGGTCGTCCGATATATTGGGTTGTCTTTTCGTACTGTAAACGGAAGAGTACGCAAATGCTTTACAACACCGTCCATTATCCAGTTGAACGCTGCCAGTGCTAAATAATCAACCGCAGGAGAGCCTCAGAGTGCTGGAAGAAGGCTGTAAAAATGCTCTGGTTTGGCCTGCAACTGTCAGCTGGTATCGCTACAGGTGAGGTACGCACAGGGACGGGCGCTGCAAATGCATGACAAGCGGGTGTTATTGTATGTAGGAATGAGATTTGTGTTTCTGTGCCGACGAGCTTCCACCTTCTCCTATGACAACAAGCTGCGATGTTGGATAGGAAGGGAAAGTCTCATGACTGGAAGTGGTTCAAGTTGCTTTTGTGACACCCCATTGCGGCATGAGACAGGTTGACCAGACACGGTGATTGGACGGCGTCTCATTCAGAGACACAAGAAATACGATTGTCTTGGCGCCATGCGAGGTCAAATTTCAGGGAAAACCAACAGCACACTCTGCGGCTGGCACAATTGTTGCACTGGCGATGATCATGGTCCTTTTTGGTTGCTCCTGACGTTGGGTGGTTGACGGGCGCTGTGCCGTTGCATTCCTATCACATGGCGCTGCGGAGTACCGAGTCTCATGGCCAGGATCTGTCTGTCTGGTCAATATTTGACCAGCGAGGACATTCGAGCGTTTGGCTGGGGGCTCTTACTGCAGTGCTACCTTGGGGTCCTGGATGGTTTCGTATTGCCGCATCGTCGGCAGGAGTAATTTGACCTATCCAGGTTTCTTTCATTCCGCATCAAAAGTGCTCCCGTATCCGTCGGAAGTTGCGTGGCAACCTAGGAACAGACCGCTGGCGTATCATGGCTGCCTGATAGCTTCGCCCACGCGCCGAGAACAGGACGACTGCTGCCTCCGAGGCATCATTGCGCTGCGGGTGGAACTATGACGAAAGAATGGCGATGAGATTGAGGCATCAGACAAGTAGATACCTAGGCAGGCATGCCCGCAATGCCGTGGGCAAAAAGCCTTTTGGAGAGGATGCTTCGAACACATGTACTCCGCACTAGACGTCCTGGTACGTTCAAGCCGACGTCATTGGCTGCCCCTCCAGGAACAAGCTTCCTTCTCAGGTGCCTGGCCCCTCCTGTTACATTCTCCCCCACCAAACCTCACCTGAGACCTCAGCTCATCAAGACACACAACCAGGCACAATCTCGAACCGTCACCGTCTTGTGAGCTATCAGAATTGTGGCAAAACCATGGCAACTCCCTCTATTACTTTGAACCGTATTCTTGCGGCGGCTCCGTCTACGACCAGAGGACAGCCAACCCAACTGTCCACCGACTCGAAAGGCGAACGAATAGCTTACGCGGTAAGCTCTTGTCCACTCCCATGCGGGCTTTCGGTAGCTCAGCATGAGACTCGTACCAGCGTGTAAAGCGCCCATGATGCTAATGCGGCACCTTTCAGTCAGGGAAATCAATCTTTGTCCGCTCTATCGACAACCCCGCCGAATCCAAGGAGTACACCGGCCACACCGCCGCTACAACTGTTGCTCGTTTTTCACCTAGCGGATTCAAAGTCGCCAGTGGTGATGCCAGTGGTACACTACGGGTGTGGGAGCCTGAGAATACGGATAAAACGATTGGCGAATATCACATCATCTCAGGCCGACTGAACGATGTTGCCTGGGATGGTGAGTCGCAGCGTGTCATTGCTGTCGGAGATGGCAAGGAGCAGTTCGGCCGCTGCATCACGGCAGACAGCGGAAACTCGGTGGGGGAAATCATTGGCCACTCAAAAACAGTCAACGCAGTAGCTATGAAGCCCCAGCGCCCTTTCCGTGCTGCAACTGTTGGTGACGATGGCAACATGGTGTTTTATCACGGCGCTCCCTACAAATTCAACGAGAAGAGTGCTTTACACAAGGGGTTTGTTCTTGGAGCCTCATACTCTCCCGATGGAGCTACTCTTGCGACTGTAGGCGCCGATAAGCGAATACAGCTGTACGACGGAAAGACTGGGGAGCCTATCAAGCAGATTGGCCAAGGGGAACACACGGGGAGCATATTTGCTCTCTCCTGGTCTGAGGATGGCAAAAAGTTTGCCACGGCAAGCGCTGACCAGACGATAAAACTTTGGGAGGTTGATTCAGGCAGCGTCGTTCAGACCTGGAAGTTTGGAGACGGAGTCAGCATTCGAGATCAGCAGATGGGTGTTGTCATTCCTCATGGCCGAACCGATGGTTTGATTATTAGCGTAAACTTGGAAGGAGAGCTTATTTACCTCAATGAGGGCAAGAAGGAACCCGTCAAGATCCTCCAGGGACACCAAAAGAGCATCACCGCTCTCACTGGCTCCTCTGACGGCAAAGGCTCTGCGCTATGGACAGGAAGCTTTGATGGCCGGGTTTGCCACTGGAACATCGCAACAGGCACGGCTAGTGTGGTAGATGGAGGGTCTCATACTAACCAGGTTGTGCAGATAACAGGGCTTGCGGGAAAAATCTATACCGCTGGCTGGGATGACACGGTGAAGATTGCGGATGAATCAGCCGGCACCTTCGTGGGCGAGTCCATCAGTCTTGCGGCACAACCAAAGGGCGCTAGTGCATCCGACGGTGTCCTTTATGTCGCCACGGTTTCGTCGATTGCGGCGTACTCTGACGGGAAGCTTCTGAAAGAGACAGCAGTCAGCTATACTCCGACATCCATCGCCGCCTGCGGAGGCTTGGTCGCCGTTGGGGCGGACAAAAACTCTGTCAAGTTATACAAGGCCAGTTCCGGGGGCTCCTTGGAAGAACTACAAACATTGACCAACCCTACTGGAACAATATCCGCTTTGGCTTTTTCGAAGGATGGCTCTCACTTGGCTGCTGGAAATAGCGTTGGCAAGATTTACGCATATAATACCGCAACATGGGAGGTGGCTTCAGACCGTTGGTCTGCCCACACGGCGCGCGTGACTTGCATTGCCTGGGATGATACTGGCGCATACGCAGCTAGCGGAAGTTTAGACACCAACGTCTTTGTATGGTGTTTGGAAAAGAGCAGTCAAGGAAAGCGAATCAAGGCTGCCAACGCACACAAGGACGGAGTTAATGGTATCTCATGGATAGAAGGTGGACAAATTGCCAGCGTAGGAGGGGATGCAAACGTCAAGATTTGGGATGTTAAGAGCTTGCCTTGAATATAAATAAGAGTTGCGTAGGAGCCTCGTATCACTCCTTTATTATTATCAGCTGTCACTGAGTACAATTGTGACAGTATCGAGGACTGAGCCAAATACGAATGAGATCAAGTTGTAAACCCCAACCCCCAAAACTCCCCAAGGCAATATGAAGTTGAAGCATGGTTTTGCGGAATCATGGCGCATCTGTAAGTGTTGTGGCTCACGACTAGGCCTTCCTAGACTGAGAATTGGCGCGAAAAAAGATGTATCCATAGAGCCTATGCGCCTAGTCATGAGACATCTGCGATATTTCTTCTTTCTTTACTTCCCCGGGCCTGATGTCCCAGAGCCTCAGAGCCTCCTCCTGCTTACCCCTGACATCGTGGGCCGGCCATCGTGTTGTCTTATTCTCTTCCCAAAGAAGGAACGCCTTGTGAATCGCTTCCTGAAGATCAAGACGGCTGGATACACGTCAGTCTCACGTATTTTACTACACATGGCACAGTGATTTATACTGACTCTGCGGAACTCATGGTTGCGTAACCTTGCCTCGCAAGATGTTTGGCCATTTCGGTTTGGTGATCATTGAGCAATCGGGTATTGGGAACCACGATGAGAGGAAGTCCCATTTTCCACGCATCCAGAATAGTTCCAGTCCCTAGATAATCATATCAGGACGCAATACTGCGGCATATGTACGGGTTGCAAGCACTGACCTGCGTGTGAGATAACCAAGCCTTGGGCTCGCTGTCCAGGGAGAGCTTGGCAGAGGAGCATTTCATCCTTCATCAAGTTGTTTCTGACGTCAAACACGTCAACCTCGAAATCCCTGGGGAGTTCCTCCTTCTGGTCTGAGAATCGGGCACTGGCCCAGGGAATGTCAGGTCCACACTGGACATGCAGGGCTGTGAAGCCTTGTTCTCTGAGAAACTGCCAAAAGGCAGATTGGAGAACTTCTTTTGTTAATTCCTCAAACCCAACAGTTGCGCCGACTGTGACTAGGCAGTACCTTTCAAGGGCACTTGAGCTTGAAGCCATCTTCAATTTGACATTTCTACCTCATTGCTGTTGAGAAGGCAGATGATATACGTGAGGTTGTACGGAGTACACCATGCGGAAAGCTGGCATCTCTTGGTTATCATTCAATGTTGGAGGTAGGTCACCAAGTGGAGCTGCGCGCCACAGCATGCAGCATGGGGTTGGGGCGCCAAGTATGGCAAAACATCGGCAAAGCTGTGTTTCTTGACTGCCACTCCATTGACCTCTGCCAAATTTTTGATAGCTACACATCCAAGTCGAAGCTGGTACAACCTCATCAATTCGACATGGCGTCGGCTTCAAATGCCGCGAGGATATTTGCGCTGGCATGCCGTAGGGCCCCTCGAGTCCATCCGCTGCCTCCAGTACAGCAAATTTCTCGGCAAAGCCTCGCTGCACAGCGAGCATTCAGCACGTCATCAGCACGATGGACCGACGAGAAAACGAAAAAGGAGGGGGCCGAAGAGAGCGAGGGAGAGCTACCGCAGCAGTTGGAGTTGAAGACCATGAACAAGGCTTTCGCCGAGACGGCCACCCCTGAGGGATTGCGACAGCTCGACGAGCTGGCCAAGACGAACGGCTGCAACACGATTGACGAGTTCTTAACAGCAAAACTGAGACAGACGCCTGGCTGGGCATCCGAGGACAGAGCATTGGAGGAGGAACTACTCAAGGATGACATTGGCGAGAAGCCCAATAAGTCATCGTTCTGGTTCGACGAGGAAGATCCCGAAACCAACACCGAGGAGCATGATGAGTTTGACGAGGATGACATCACTTCTATGGCGCATGGCAAGCTGGAGGAAGTTCGAGAGATGAGACACTACGCCCGACTGGCAGCTTGGGAGATGCCTCTTCTCACAAGTAAGTTGTATCCCCTGCGGAGAACACCGAGGATTGGCCTCCGAAACTAATTAAAATGACCATGACAGAATTCGCCAAGCCCTTCGTGCCCCCTAAGGAGAGTGAAGTCCTCCGCTGGCGATACACAACCTACATGGGTGAATCACACCCCGCCGAACGAAAAGTTGTCGTTCAGTTCGCCCCCGACGATCTGAAGCTCACGCCTGTCCAGACGGCCAAGCTGAAGAAGCTCGTCGGTCCCCGATACAACCCCGAGACGGAGCTCGTCAAGATCAGCTGTGAGAGCTACGAGCACCAGGCCCAGAACAAGCGCTATCTAACAGGTCTGGTGGATGATTTGATCGCGGCCGCCAAAGACCCCAAGGATACCTTCGAGGATGTGCCCCTGGACCTGAGGCATCACCGTATCAAGGAGAAGCCGAGATTCCCCAAGGAATGGAGAATGACCAAGGAGCGACGACTGGAGCTGGACGAGCAGCGAAAGGCAGCGGCGATTGCGGACATGGAACGGGCCGAAAGTGGATTGCTGGTGGACGGCAAGCAGGCCATTGACAGCTATCTGATGCAGAAACTGATTGAGGAACAGGAGAAGCAAAAGGTTGCAGAAATGGTGCCTGCGCCGAAGGCTGGAAAGGGTGCTGCGCCGGCGAGAGCAAGGAGGTAGACTTGTTTGTAAATATCATGCTGTTTAGCGGTCAGGGGTGGCTTCTGGCATGGCCGGATCTGTATAATTGAGCATGCGGATAGCCTGGGCGCGTGTGCCCTGGATGTACAGTAGATGTAGAAATTCATGTCCTATTTTTGGATATCGGTGGTGGGCAATGTCATTAGTAAGGCGGTAGTCACTGCGACAGGAGCGTCGAGGACTCCAATCAATGGTGTGTGACTGGGACTTGGCCTATACAGACATGAAATACATGTAGAACATCCTAAATGCTTTGAATGAGAATGATGGACGTGGACTCGATCCCATTTTTCATTTCCAAGTTGTCTTCCGCCCTGACTGAACTGAATTTCCAGCCATCCGCCCTGTCATTGGCCCGCCCCGTTCCATTCGCCAGGTAAGGGATATTACATCAAAACAACTACTCCGTACTCCGTAGTTGGATGACTTTTGCAAAGCTAATTTGCGGAGACCGGGGGTGGGGGGGGGGCTTGTATTGGGCTGAGAAGCGGGTGAATGCACAACATGTCTCCGTCGTCACATCAAGCGGGAACTTGGCGCCAGTATTGTGCATCTGCCTCGGCAAATGTACGTTTGAGTCTGGACTGTACGGAGTACCACGCGAGAAGCATGTGGTAGAGGAAGCTGTGCCTCGCATTGGTGTCTGTGTCTTGATTTTTTTTCTTCCCCCCCCCC